GTAATTTTGGCGGGTAAAATCGATCCTAATGTGATTAAATTCACGGCGCACGGAGTGGCATCATAGCTTAAATCGGTAGAGCTTTGGCTGCGCCGACGCCGCGAGTTTTTTCACGATTGGGTCAACTTAATTAAGCAAATCTGCCAAAATCCCCTAACTATTATGGTTCCGCCTGTAGGGCGCATTGTATACAGTCTATACAAAGTAAAATTGCGTCTGAGTAAGTGAGCTAGCAGTCAGAGGGGTTTGTCCACAGCTGGTTATTACGCGATTATTGGCAACTTAAGTTATTCAGTTAAGGTTAATTTCCAACAGAGGAGAGGACTTCATCTAGGATGAGTTGGGGAGGGGTTCTTTGACCGTTTCATTTTTCGCTTACCAATCTCGGTCGTTAACCCTCAGAGGCTTGTATATGCATCTTCAGAGCTCGTAAAATGGGACTTGCCTGTCATGTATTTCATCAGATTTGAGTTTTGGTTGTCCAAGACTGCTGGCGAACATGCGTCCCCGGGGTTCCCAGTTAGCAACGGATACAAGGTTGGATGCCAGTGAGCCTCTTTCAGACTCCAGCGCACAATGCATCTTTGGCGGTCCTAACTGCTATTTAATTGTGATGAACCAAAGAAGACCTTCCAGGTGTATGTATCTCATGAACCCAAGTTGATGAGTACCACAAAATAAGTATTGACAACGATAATTTTGGTTTCGTTGATTAAAAATACCGAACGCTGAAAATTAAGAAACAGTAATTTAATAATTTACATAACCTTGCTTTGACAACCGAGCACTGCTGTGAGGTCCCAGTTATAATCGCAGATCAAATCATGCGTAGCAGCAAGCTGATTTTGGAGGAAACGTCTTATCAGCGGATTATAAAAATAAGCTTCGGAAAATTTAATGCTTAACCAGCGCTTCCTTTCTCATTTTGCTTCGAAGTCAGTGTAAATTCAAGTGGATCTGCCACATAACTTGCATCAATCTAATATCTTATAATCAGGTTTACAAGGATGACTACTGTATTAAGCTTCACTTAGCATGCGAAAGACAAAATTTTCTGCTTTAGAAAGATTGCAAACAAGATACTGTTTGAGATGCTCTTACGAAATTTAATGTGACAATTTTATCTTATGCTCGTTAATCTTATATAAACTTTGCTCAGCGGGACTCATAAGAATGATAAACATTTGTGAACATCTGAAGAACCTTTTAGAGGGCAGGCTAGCACTGTGCAGGTTGCTTTAGAAAGAATGCATGGTCTAGGAAACTTTAAACCGGATGAAAATGTATGTTTTAACTCTTACGAAATTAAAGGCTGATATTCTTCATGTAAAGATTTTTGAAGAAAACTCGGTTATTTTGCGGTAGCTGATGCATTTCAGCTCAACTGTTCACATCAAATTTCGAATTACGCGTGAGCTGCTTCTCCTGGAATTAAAATAGGGCATGTACTTTTCAGTAAAAAAATGATAATGAATGCAGTATTTTCAACAGTTTTTTGAACATAGATGCATTACAATTCAGCAGAATAATAAGTATCAATAGTAGTAGCTAGTATTGCCTGCAAAAACAAGGCGGACTGGAATGGCCATTTCTGGCTTGTTAGCCATCGTCAGTTAGTCATACCCAGACCCATGTAATGACTCACTCGAGTCTCGATCTCGCGAACTTTTGATCAGAATCACATGCTCTAACCATTCAGCCAGGAGCGCGCTGTGTAACCGTTTTAGGACTGTGGATATTGAAACTCGATGAATGTTCACCTGGACACTCCCATGTCTCATCTCTCCCGCTCTGCCTTGGGCCTTAGCAAAGACCCTGGCAGCTATAACAGCTGATGGTAGAGGTAGGTGGTATTGTTTACAAAGGCAAGGGAGACCTAAGTGGCCATTTCTGACTTATTAGCCGTCGTCAGCCAGTCATACCCAAACCCAAGTGGTGCCCCACTCAGGGCCTCAAAATAAGAAAGTGCGACCACTGGAACAAGAACTATATTTTCCTGACGTTTCGGATTCTGTCGAGAATCCTTAATCATAAATAGACCCCTATCTGCGAATGTCTCACAATATCCTACGGTAACCTATGATTAAGGATTGTTGAGAGAATCCAAAACGTTAGGAAAATAAAATCACTTTTCCAGTGGTTGCACCTTCTTCGGAACTGCTTCCTGGAACTCACATACTCACTTTTATCGGAAAGATTGGATGTCAGCGAAACGCCAAGGTACCGGAAAGAATAACTATCCTTGGGCAGGCTGTCTTATGATTCAGGACCTATATCCTGCCGTTCGCAGGCATATCAGCATTCTCTATTGCCATTTCTAGCACTCTGCCTTCCCGGAAATAAACGGAAATCCAAAAAATCGAGATCTAACCTGTCAGATGTTTATTTAATATCAAACCTCTAGATTTTTAAAGTATCTTGTTCCCTCATCCCGTGGTTTCTGTGGATGGAGCCATTTTTATTGCTGAAAACGTTAGATCCTGCCTTCAAACTAAAGTGTACTTCTCTCTCTGTTTCCCTCTGTTTCACACCCACAATCTTGTAGGTTCGCGTGCAAAATTTTACCACCGACTGGAAGGACGGCCTATCCATGTGTGCCCTGTTGCATCGGCACCGACCAGATCTCCTAGATTTCAACACCCTCCTCTCCCAAACCCCTCTAGCCCGCATAACCACCGCCTTTACTGTCGCAGGCACCAGCCTCCAGATTCCGGTGCTGGTGGAGCCTGCTGAGTTTATAGCCTGTTGCTGCGACGAGCGTTGTGTCATAGCAGTCGTTGCTACCTGGTATCAATTTCTAAATCAGGATAGGGCAACGAAAAAGTCGGGTGACCGATTATCAGCCGTGCTTGCCAAAGCAGTGGACGCGAACAAGAAGCTAGCTGCCTACCTCTGGCGTGTGGCTCGAGCCAAAACCTGGCTGAAGAAGAATCAGGACTTCTTGAGCCGCCAAACTGAGATACTGGCGAGCAGACGTCAGAGGAGTGGTCAAAGCAGTGCTGATGAATCGCTGCGTAGACTACGCCACTGGTATTCTGAGGAGAAGCGGCCTCAGATCGCCCAGATGAATCAAATAGAGGTAGATTTTCTGTATTTTTGAAATATCCCGTTTTATTATCATCTTGAAAGTCGACTTGGCAAACACATGTTTTTAGCAACTCTTAAGCAGATCAGTGCATTTGCAGGCACAATGAAAATTGTACAGTTGGACAGGGTTAATAAGTGTACTTTGATTACAACTCATTGTTTTCACACCACTCGCATGGCGAGATCGCTGTGTAGAGGTCCCTGTGCCAAGGGGAGGGGGGAAGGAAGGAAATTGGGTTAGGTTGTGGGCATGAGCCAGAGGTCAGGTACGTGGAATGATAATAACTGTCATTTACACGGAGCGGATGACTCTTACTAGAGGGAGGGGGTGTGCGGTCGCCAGCTGGCGTCGCGGTTGGCCACGGAAGTGAAAGTGCTTGTGCTAGCGTCTTCTGACAACACATTACTGGATTCGTCTCAGTGATCCCTGTCGACAAGGTGTGCAATAATAGAACCCGGGATCGATCTAGTTTGACCTTTACTTAACCAGGCTGGTTTGCGCTCATGTGCCCTCTTTTCCACGTGCCTTGTTCTTCAGCCGACGTGTCCTGCTCCGCTGGACCAAGTGAAAGAGTGAATGCACGTGGAGGTGGTCTTCAGTGCGAGTCGATCTTTCCCTCCCAGTCGTAGGATGGGACTGAAGAGAAAAGGTGATTAGCCTACTTTATTGCAGTATCAGCAGCAGTTATTTCGTACTAAGCAGGAAAAAATTTCAGAGCACTGGTTTTGGAAATAACAGTATCGTATTCGATTACTCGAAGAAAGAAAGCGACAACGCTCTGGTTAATTGCGCGCGAATCAGTTCACAGTAGGGCAGACTTGCATAGCATCCACCGCGGTGTTTATCACCTTAATTGTTCCAGTAGTAATGTAATTCGTTGATGAACGTTCACTAATTTAAAGATGACCGTATGTGGCCTAGGGCACAGTAGCTTTGAACTTCTCAATTTCCGTTTCTTCACAAGTAAGGTAGCGTGCTAGGAATGGGAGTACAGATTTGCCAATACAAGCGAACATGCGCCTCCCAGGAAGCAATTGAGAAGAAGAATCAATCGCTGGGACAATACGTTTATTCGCCTAACATTTCGACATCCATCGCGGATTCATCATCACAGACATGAATAGGAAATAGTAGCAGAAACGGTTTTTGCTGCTGTTTCTTACTCATGTCTCTGATGATGAATCCGCGACGGGTGTCGAAACTTTAGGCGAATAAACGTATTGTCCCAGCGATCCAGTCTTCTTACTCTCGGGAGTACAGAGTGCTGATATGCCGATGCACGGCAAGACATATGACGGAAGCCT